CCCCAAAACCCCAAAACCCCATCAATCAATATAAAGACAATAGAACTGAATTTAATATATATTTGAATTAATATAATAATTTAAATGGCAGTAGAAGCTTAAAAGAAACTCTTATCTCGAGTGGAAAAACTCATGAATTATATGAATTATGATTGGACAAACGATCTAGCATACAAGGAGTACACTAAAAATTATAAGCCAACAAATTAGGCTGATGAGAAAGACTAGTTGGAAATGATCAAGAGAAATTATTATCAGCTAAACATTGATAAAGACTTTGAAAGTGCATTTGAATTTGAGGATGAGTCTAAACGCAGAGCATACTTCACATACTGTTAGTTCTTTGGTAACTTAGGGGCATTAGCTGAATTTAATGACCATAGCAAGCAGGGATTGCCTTTTAAAATTAAGATGTGGATGTATCTGCTGTTTTTACTTGCACTACCATTGTCTAATTTAACTTATTTCCTACCAATCATGCAAATCATAGCAATTTGCATGTCAGTCTCATCAAGGCATGATGGAATGTCTGCTCTCTTGACTAAATGGGCTAAATTATTCATGGAGGAGGAAGCTATGAATCTTGCATTTTTATTCATGATGCTATTTTGTGGTTAATTAATCAGGTATCTATTCTACCTCTGTTTGGCAATATACTCTTTTGTAGAAGTTTGCTAATGGGGTAAGCAAATACTAAGGTAAAATTAAAATGCTACTGGTGTTGTGTTGCTCAAAAGTTTCATTGAATATGGAGATATATACAGAGTTGAACTAGTTTAATTAAAAAATCACATTGAGGTATTTATAGGTTTCGGATCAATCATATTTATGTTTACTGGCAAAGTAGCTCCAATTTTCCCTGTCCTATATTGGTAGTATCTTAGATTGAAGTATGTTGTCAATTATTTCACAAGACATAGCTTTACCTAGTTTGATGAGAAAATTTTGCATAGAGCTTTTCCTGGACCACTTTACCCTACAATAGTTGGAAACTTTAAAAGACTTGTCCAATACTTGATAAACTACAGATAAGAGCAAGCAGTTGAGGAAAAAGAAGATGATGACTAAAATAAAAATGTAAGCTCTAATTCCCATTCAGAGTCTAGGAAAAACAAGTGATAAATACTAGGATAAAAAGAGATTAAATTTGATTGTGTTTTAGCTTAAATTTTCAAAGAATTAACTAAAATTAATATATTTAAATTGCATTAATTTCTTAAAAATAAATGCTAATAACCATAAATAAAATAGAAGGAAACAGTGGGAAGGGGTAACCTGTCTTTAGCAGAAGTGGAATTGCTACTGTCTTTCAATATAAAGTCTTTCAAAATCCAACCTACATAAGTCCTCAGCCAGAAGAGTAGCAAACTAAAAGAAAATCTAAAAATATGAATACTGTAAGTTTCTTTCCTTATTTCTTACTTAAATATTAAATACATCTAATGACTGTCGATTATAGTCAGAGATAGAAAAAGAACTGATAAAGATCAATGAACAGATAGATTATGAGAAATAGCAAGAAATAATTCAGCAAATAAGATAAAAGCCTAAGAGCAGCTATTTTAAATCTGTCGACAGAGATTTTTATTTTCAAGTAAAATCCATTATTATTCATCAATAAAAATAGCAAGAGATGAAATAAAAAGATCACATTAAGTAATCTGGGCATTATAAACCTGACTATAAGATACTTGAGAGAAAGGTAGGAAATCAAGTGCAGTATGATGTTCCTGATATCAAAGAGGCTATTATAGAAAAATTGTAACTAAAGAAACGATCTAGAGATATAAAGTGCTGTAATAGAATTCTTAGGACTCTTGAAAACTAAGAAAAGATTAAAACTTAAGGATTAATCAGAGGTAGGAATCAATCTAAGACAATGAACTAAAATAGCCCTACTATGATGAGTCCTTAAATATCCTAGGCGATTATTTAGTAGCCTACTGCTTCTATCTAGCATGTGCCTCATATAAGTACTACTTAGCCATATACTGAAGGCCTGAATAATACAGCAACTAACCTATAAGGTTCGCTTCTTTAAAGTCCAAATTAAGTTCCTTAGTTGTAGCATTAATCGAACTCTCAAAGAAAAACTAAAGTTCTATACTTTCGCAGAAATAAGAATTTTTCTTACTCAAACATTTACATTTCCCCAGATTATCATATGGTCCTCGAGAAAGATGATGGCATTAAACCTAGAATTTCCATTTAAAATTCAAATCTACCAATGAGTCCATCAGCCTCCTCCAGAGTCAACATTAAAAATAGATTTAGTGTAGATGAAACCAATAAAGATTTGAGTAGGGTTTATAACAGATATCAGGAAATCGATGATTAGTTGCTTAACAACTAGAGTCAATTGTTTAACAAAAGTACTCAAAATTAACTTAATCAAAGTCAATTAAACTAGATGAGAACTTCCTAGTATGTAGGTTCTGAATAACTTATGAACTAAGTAAACTCAAAATACGAAAGACTTAGAGACTTTGTAAAGATGGACAAAATGCTCTCAAGAGAATAGCATAAGCCAATGTTGAAACAAGATCCTAATCCTCAATCTTAGAATATTAGTTCAAATTTAAAAGGTGCATTAGAAATTTACGGATACACTGCTGAAAGTCCACAACCTATGCTAGAACCCGCTGAAGTGAAAGAGAGATTGTTTAACTAGAGAAAAGATATCGGTATTATGGGGTTTGAAAAGATTTCAGCAAGAGGTATGAGAAATTCAATCTATTCCTTAGATACAAAGATTCCTATTGGGCCTAAAACAATTGAGTATGATAACATTGAAAAGTCTTATAAAAGGCTCAGCAATTTTAGGAATCCTGAAAGAGGTACGATGCAATTTTCATATGAAAAGCCTGTGGATTTAGAAGATTTAAATAATAGCTAGGAACTCTACTAGTAAATTATAAAGCATAAAAAGGATATTGGATATTTAAAGAAACTTTTTATAAAGAAGGGAGTTCTCTCTTCAAGAGAGGAATTGGCCTGATTTAACTTAATTAGAAGCCTAATATATAATTTCATAAATTAAGTTACACCTGTCAAGAAAATTTTAGATAATCATCATTGCGGGGTTTTGGGGTTTTGGGGTTTTGGGG